TTGTGACATCATTTTTCGACTAACTAAGTATTGCGAACAATTTGAAACATGAAATGTTATTGTAGTAGAAGTTTCCTTGATCAAATTAATAATATGCAAATTAGTTATCAATCTGATGCTTCCTACTCTGCTTGCTATGTAACATTAAACGTTGTAGTGACCAAGACAAAGACGATGACTCAGCGTCTTTGGGGAACTATAAATACTGGCGAGCGCTGATGCTCGTGGTTAGTCTACCAGTGGCAGTGGATCAGTACGGATCAGGATAAAAAGGGTAAGGCATTTATTGTGCTTCATTTGCGGGTCTCAATATACTGGAGATCCCACAGTACATATTACACTTCTTAAATATCATTTTATATTTCATATTACAGGAAAATCAACCTCCATTGAATATGAATAACCTGAAACAAAAAGAAATATTTGACAGCTTCCCTCCACATGACCTCTGCTCAGAGGTAAGAAGCATTTGTTGTTAATTTTTTTTAAGTCCCAACAAATATTCATTTTCCTTGAATTGCTTAAATATACGGGGAGTTTAAGTAGAAATAAGACTGATTTTCTTTCGTCTATGTAAACCGTGTAATTATAAACCAACAAATTTAAGGTTAATACGTAATACGTACCAAAAATAAGGACAAATTAGGAGTCGCGGCATCTCGAAATCACTTAAGTATCTCTTGCTCAGTCGCGACATAATTTTTTGACTTACTGAGTATTGCGAACAAGTACAATTATGCTAAATTTTGTTAATTCAACAAATAATCTACTTTAATGCAATTATTACAGTGCAAAAAGTTTAAAAATATCTATGCTAACATTTGACACTTTCAAACTCTCCATTTGTTTATTTCTTCGGTGTAGATAAGAAGCTATTTTTCTCCCTTTTCCTGTCACTAAGGTTTCAAGTGTCTGATTTAGTCATTTTGTCCGTTTTCTTACCTTTCCAACGACACCAAACTCGTCTTGATCCGATAAAAAATAAGAAAGTTATGAGCTTCTGAAAATTCCACTTTGTCCTTTATTATTGCTTCTACCCGTGACTTTCACTTTCCACTTTCATTTTCTTAATCTTTTAATCTCCGTTGACCTACTTGGGCACTTTAATCCACGGGCATTTTCGTTTTTATCCTATACCCTAACCCAAACCCTAACCCTAACCCTTAAATAAGAAAGTTATAAGCTTCGGAAAATTCCAGTTTTTCCTTTACTTTTGCATGTCTCTGTGACTTTCACTTTCCACTTTCATTTCATTTGACCTAGATAGTTCATGACCTAGATAGTTCATCTTCGCTTTTAGCCCTATCCCTAACCCTAACCCTAACCCTAACCCTAACCCTAACCCCCCTAACCCTAACCCTACCCTAACCCTAACCCTTACCCTAACCCTAACCCTAACCCTAACCCTAACCCTAACCCTAACCCTAACCCTAACCCTAACCCTAACCCTAACCTTAACCCTAACCCTAACCCTAACCCTTAACCCTAACCCTAACCCTAACCCTAACCCTTACCCTTACCCCACTAACCCTAACCCTAACCCTGACCCTGACCCTGACCCTAACCCTAACCCCCATTAACCCTAACCCCCACTAACCCTAACCCCCGTTAACCCTGACTTTAACCCCTGCAAACACTTTTTTTTCTTTTTTTGCTCATATCTTTTGACTGACTGCTCCGATGTCAACGTTCTTGGTGTCGTTGGAAAGGTCTTGACGAGCTCTTTACGCTCGCTTCAAGATATTGTCGTTACAGTGAGCAAGAAGTCGAATAACAAGCGGTATTCTCAAAAGGCTTGCAAACGGCAAAAAATCTTTATTTCGTGACGGATTTTCAACTTCTTGGGCTTGTCAGAGAGCTCTGGACAAGGTCTATCGAATGCCGTAAAGTGTGAAAAGATCAAGCCATTTTTTGAGGCTTTCTAGAGCAAATATTGCCTAGGTGTACCCACGCGCTTTACACACACATCTTTCAACCCTCGCAACTTTTAACGTTTTTGTCCTTTAACAACCATCTTCAAATCGTGGACAGAACTTGCCAAGACCTTTCCAATGAGACCAAGACTTTGAAGATTGCTTGAAAACTAAGAGAGATTCGGCCCTTACAATTTGGCGTCCATTTGCCACCCCTTTGGATCAGTTTTTGGTCATTTCCGCGAGAGAGGTTCAGGTCAGGGTATCGAGGCCTACGAAACCTTTTATGAAAAGAAGAGTTCCCTTTCGTCCCCATTTCTTGACTACTGAGGACGTTGCCTTCCGGTCCAACCGAAATTACGGCACCTTTTCTTCAAATACCCATAGGTAACACGCCCTTGGGACAAGCAGGCTGAGCTTTGGTATGTGGATTCCTTGAAGTCTTCTTAACCTTTTATGTACGAGTTTAGGGCCTCTATCTCTCACCGTTTTCGCGCTATCGCCCGCAAAAAGAACTTAGCGCGGAACGCAAATTTACCTCCTCTCCGAGCATAACCGGTTTTGGGGGTACTTGAACAGATCCTGCTGAGACCTTTTCGGCAATCTGCAGGCTGTCGAGATCTGACAGCTTTAACTTGTCCAATCCCGGTTTCAAATTGTCTAAGACTTTTGTAGATTTTCCATATGTTTAGTCATTAACATCTTTGGAGAGAGAAAGTATTTCTGCAAACTCTTTGCAGCTTCCAGGAGTCCCTGTCAGGGTGTATCACTGACATAAGAGCAGTGTGTCGATTGCATGCCATTCTCCAGATATTGAAGTTTGAAAATGGTCAAAAATTCTCAACTTGTCAATTTCTAAACACAATCTTTGGTGTAAATAAGAAACCACTTTTCCCCCTTTTCCTGACACATTGATTTTATGGCTCCGACTTAGTCGTGTTGTCCGTTTTCTTAGCTTTCCAACGACACCAAAGTCCTCTAAGTTAACCGCATGGGTATAAATAAAAATATTCAAGTTTTATATGAAATCAACAGAAATTAGGACAAATCAGGTGTCGCAACATGTTGAAATCAATAAAGTAATTCTTCTGAGGTTGTGACATCATTTTTCGACTAACTAAGTATTGCGAACAATTTGAAACATGAAATGTTATTGTAGTAGAAGTTTCCTTGATCAAATTAATAATATGCAAATTAGTTATCAATCTGATGCTTCCTACTCTGTTTGCTATGTAACATTAAACGTTGCAGTGACCAAGACAAAGACGATGACTCAGCGTCTTTGGGGAACTATAAATACTGGCGAGCGCTGATGCTCGTGGTTAGTCTACCAGTGGCAGTGGATCAGTACGGATCAGGATAAAAAGGGTAAGGCATTTATTGTGCTTCATTTGCGGGTCTCAATATACTGGAGATCCCACAGTACATATTACACTTGTTAAATATCATTTTATATTTCATATTACAGGAAAATCAACCTCCATTGAATATGAATAACCTGAAACAAAAAGAAATATTTGACAGCTTCCCTCCACATGACCTCTGCTCAGAGGTAAGAAGCATTTGTTGTTAATTTTTTTTAAGTCCCAACAAATATTCATTTTCCTTGAATTGCTTAAATATACGGGGAGTTTAAGTAGAAATAAGACTGATTTTCTTTCGTCTATGTAAACCGTGTAATTATAAACCAACAAATTTAAGGTTAATACGTAATACGTACCAAAAATAAGGACAAATTAGGAGTCGCGGCATCTCGAAATCACTTAAGTATCTCTTGCTCAGTCGCGACATAATTTTTTGACTTACTGAGTATTGCGAACAAGTACAATTATGCTAAATTTTGTTAATTCAACAAATAATCTACTTTAATGCAATTATTACAGTGCAAAAAGTTTAAAAATATTTATGCTAACATTTGACACTTTCAAACTCTCCATTTGTTTATTTCTTCGGTGTAGATAAGAAGCTATTTTTCTCCCTTTTCCTGTCACTAAGGTTTCAAGTGTCTGATTTAGTCATTTTGTCCGTTTTCTTACCTTTCCAACGACACCAAACTCGTCTTGATCCGATAAAAAATAAGAAAGTTATGAGCTTCTGAAAATTCCACTTTGTCCTTTATTATTGCTTCTACCCGTGACTTTCACTTTCCACTTTCATTTTCTTAATCTTTTAATCTCCGTTGACCTACTTGGGCACTTTAATCCACGGGCATTTTCGTTTTTATCCTATACCCTAACCCAAACCCTAACCCTAACCCTTAAATAAGAAAGTTATAAGCTTCGGAAAATTCCAGTTTTTCCTTTACTTTTGCATGTCTCTGTGACTTTCACTTTCCACTTTCATTTCATTTGACCTAGATAGTTCATGACCTAGATAGTTCATCTTCGCTTTTAGCCCTATCCCTAACCCTAACCCTAACCCTAACCCTAACCCTAACCCTAACCCTAACCCTAACCCTAACCCCTAACCCTAACCCTAACCCTTAACCCTAACCCTAACCCTTACCCTAACCCTAACCCTAACCCTTAACCCTAACCCTAACCTTAACCCTAACCCTAACCCTTAACCCTAACCCTAACCCTAACCTTAACCCTAACCCTAACCCTAACCCTTAACCCTAACCCTAACCCTAACCCTAACCCTTACCCTTACCCCACTAACCCTAACCCTAACCCTGACCCTGACCCTGACCCTAACCCTAACCCCCATTAACCCTAACCCCCACTAACCCTAACCCCCGTTAACCCTGACTTTAACCCCTGCAAACACTTTTTTTTCTTTTTTTGCTCATATCTTTTGACTGACTGCTCCGATGTCAACGTTCTTGGTGTCGTTGGAAAGGTCTTGACGAGCTCTTTACGCTCGCTTCAAGATATTGTCGTTACAGTGAGCAAGAAGTCGAATAACAAGCGGTATTCTCAAAAGGCTTGCAAACGGCAAAAAATCTTTATTTCGTGACGGATTTTCAACTTCTTGGGCTTGTCAGAGAGCTCTGGACAAGGTCTATCGAATGCCGTAATGTGTAAAAAGATCAAGCCATTTTTGAGGCGTTCTAGAGCAAATATTGCCTAGGTGTACCCACGCGCTTTACACACACATCTTTCAACCCTCGCAACTTTTAACGTTTTTGTCCTTTAACAACCATCTTCAAATCGTGGACAGAACTTGCCAAGACCTTTCCAATGAGACCAAGACTTTGAAGATTGCTTGAAAACTAAGAGAGATTCGGCCCTTACAATTTGGCGTCCATTTGCCACCCCTTTGGATCAGTTTTTGGTCATTTCCGCGAGAGAGGTTCAGGTCAGGGTATCGAGGCCTACGAAACCTTTTATGAAAAGAAGAGTTCCCTTTCGTCCCCATTTCTTGACTACTGAGGACGTTGCCTTCCGGTCCAACCGAAATTACGGCACCTTTTCTTCAAATACCCATAGGTAACACGCCCTTGGGACAAGCAGGCTGAGCTTTGGTATGTGGATTCCTTGAAGTCTTCTTAACCTTTTATGTACGAGTTTAGGGCCTCTATCTCTCACCGTTTTCGCGCTATCGCCCGCAAAAAGAACTTAGCGCGGAACGCAAATTTACCTCCTCTCCGAGCATAACCGGTTTTGGGGGTACTTGAACAGATCCTGCTGAGACCTTTTCGGCAATCTGCAGGCTGTCGAGATCTGACAGCTTTAACTTGTCCAATCCCGGTTTCAAATTGTCTAAGACTTTTGTAGATTTTCCATATGTTTAGTCATTAACATCTTTGGAGAGAGAAAGTATTTCTGCAAACTCTTTGCAGCTTCCAGGAGTCCCTGTCAGGGTGTATCACTGACATAAGAGCAGTGTGTCGATTGCATGCCATTCTCCAGATATTGAAGTTTGAAAATGGTCAAAAATTCTCAACTTGTCAATTTCTAAACACAATCTTTGGTGTAAATAAGAAACCACTTTTCCCCCTTTTCCTGACACATTGATTTTATGGCTCCGACTTAGTCGTGTTGTCCGTTTTCTTAGCTTTCCAACGACACCAAAGTCCTCTAAGTTAACCGCATGGGTATAAATAAAAATATTCAAGTTTTATATGAAATCAACAGAAATTAGGACAAATCAGGTGTCGCAACATGTTGAAATCAATAAAGTAATTCTTCTGAGGTTGTGACATCATTTTTCGACTAACTAAGTATTGCGAACAATTTGAAACATGAAATGTTATTGTAGTAGAAGTTTCCTTGATCAAATTAATAATATGCAAATTAGTTATCAATCTGATGCTTCCTACTCTGTTTGCTATGTAACATTAAACGTTGCAGTGACCAAGACAAAGACGATGACTCAGCGTCTTTGGGGAACTATAAATACTGGCGAGCGCTGATGCTCGTGGTTAGTCTACCAGTGGCAGTGGATCAGTACGGATCAGGATAAAAAGGGTAAGGCATTTATTGTGCTTCATTTGCGGGTCTCAATATACTGGAGATCCCACAGTACATATTACACTTGTTAAATATCATTTTATATTTCATATTACAGGAAAATCAACCTCCATTGAATATGAATAACCTGAAACAAAAAGAAATATTTGACAGCTTCCCTCCACATGACCTCTGCTCAGAGGTAAGAAGCATTTGTTGTTAATTTTTTTTAAGTCCCAACAAATATTCATTTTCCTTGAATTGCTTAAATATACGGGGAGTTTAAGTAGAAATAAGACTGATTTTCTTTCGTCTATGTAAACCGTGTAATTATAAACCAACAAATTTAAGGTTAATACGTAATACGTACCAAAAATAAGGACAAATTAGGAGTCGCGGCATCTCGAAATCACTTAAGTATCTCTTGCTCAGTCGCGACATAATTTTTTGACTTACTGAGTATTGCGAACAAGTACAATTATGCTAAATTTTGTTAATTCAACAAATAATCTACTTTAATGCAATTATTACAGTGCAAAAAGTTTAAAAATATTTATGCTAACATTTGACACTTTCAAACTCTCCATTTGTTTATTTCTTCGGTGTAGATAAGAAGCTATTTTTCTCCCTTTTCCTGTCACTAAGGTTTCAAGTGTCTGATTTAGTCATTTTGTCCGTTTTCTTACCTTTCCAACGACACCAAACTCGTCTTGATCCGATAAAAAATAAGAAAGTTATGAGCTTCTGAAAATTCCACTTTGTCCTTTATTATTGCTTCTACCCGTGACTTTCACTTTCCACTTTCATTTTCTTAATCTTTTAATCTCCGTTGACCTACTTGGGCACTTTAATCCACGGGCATTTTCGTTTTTATCCTATACCCTAACCCAAACCCTAACCCTAACCCTTAAATAAGAAAGTTATAAGCTTCGGAAAATTCCAGTTTTTCCTTTACTTTTGCATGTCTCTGTGACTTTCACTTTCCACTTTCATTTCATTTGACCTAGATAGTTCATGACCTAGATAGTTCATCTTCGCTTTTAGCCCTATCCCTACTCCAACCCCTAACCCTAACCCTAACCTTAACCCAACCCTAACCCTAACCCTAACCCCTAACCCTAACCCTAACCCTAACCCTAACCCTAACCCTAACCCTTAACCCTAACCCTAACCTTAACCCTAACCCTAACCCTTAACCCTAACCCTAACCCTAACCTTAACCCTAACCCTAACCCTAACCCTTAACCCTAACCCTAACCCTAACCCATATTAACCCTAACCCTTACCCCACTAACCCTAACCCTAACCCTGACCCTGACCCTGACCCTAACCCTAACCCCCATTAACCCTAACCCCCACTAACCCTAACCCCCGTTAACCCTGACTTTAACCCCTGCAAACACTTTTTTTTCTTTTTTTGCTCATATCTTTTGACTGACTGCTCCGATGTCAACGTTCTTGGTGTCGTTGGAAAGGTCTTGACGAGCTCTTTACGCTCGCTTCAAGATATTGTCGTTACAGTGAGCAAGAAGTCGAATAACAAGCGGTATTCTCAAAAGGCTTGCAAACGGCAAAAAATCTTTATTTCGTGACGGATTTTCAACTTCTTGGGCTTGTCAGAGAGCTCTGGACAAGGTCTATCGAATGCCGTAAAGTGTGAAAAGATCAAGCCATTTTTTGAGGCTTTCTAGAGCAAATATTGCCTAGGTGTACCCACGCGCTTTACACACACATCTTTCAACCCTCGCAACTTTTAACGTTTTTGTCCTTTAACAACCATCTTCAAATCGTGGACAGAACTTGCCAAGACCTTTCCAATGAGACCAAGACTTTGAAGATTGCTTGAAAACTAAGAGAGATTCGGCCCTTACAATTTGGCGTCCATTTGCCACCCCTTTGGATCAGTTTTTGGTCATTTCCGCGAGAGAGGTTCAGGTCAGGGTATCGAGGCCTACGAAACCTTTTATGAAAAGAAGAGTTCCCTTTCGTCCCCATTTCTTGACTACTGAGGACGTTGCCTTCCGGTCCAACCGAAATTACGGCACCTTTTCTTCAAATACCCATAGGTAACACGCCCTTGGGACAAGCAGGCTGAGCTTTGGTATGTGGATTCCTTGAAGTCTTCTTAACCTTTTATGTACGAGTTTAGGGCCTCTATCTCTCACCGTTTTCGCGCTATCGCCCGCAAAAAGAACTTAGCGCGGAACGCAAATTTACCTCCTCTCCGAGCATAACCGGTTTTGGGGGTACTTGAACAGATCCTGCTGAGACCTTTTCGGCAATCTGCAGGCTGTCGAGATCTGACAGCTTTAACTTGTCCAATCCCGGTTTCAAATTGTCTAAGACTTTTGTAGATTTTCCATATGTTTAGTCATTAACATCTTTGGAGAGAGAAAGTATTTCTGCAAACTCTTTGCAGCTTCCAGGAGTCCCTGTCAGGGTGTATCACTGACATAAGAGCAGTGTGTCGATTGCATGCCATTCTCCAGATATTGAAGTTTGAAAATGGTCAAAAATTCTCAACTTGTCAATTTCTAAACACAATCTTTGGTGTAAATAAGAAACCACTTTTCCCCCTTTTCCTGACACATTGATTTTATGGCTCCGACTTAGTCGTGTTGTCCGTTTTCTTAGCTTTCCAACGACACCAAAGTCCTCTAAGTTAACCGCATGGGTATAAATAAAAATATTCAAGTTTTATATGAAATCAACAGAAATTAGGACAAATCAGGTGTCGCAACATGTTGAAATCAATAAAGTAATTCTTCTGAGGTTGTGACATCATTTTTCGACTAACTAAGTATTGCGAACAATTTGAAACATGAAATGTTATTGTAGTAGAAGTTTCCTTGATCAAATTAATAATATGCAAATTAGTTATCAATCTGATGCTTCCTACTCTGTTTGCTATGTAACATTAAACGTTGCAGTGACCAAGACAAAGACGATGACTCAGCGTCTTTGGGGAACTATAAATACTGGCGAGCGCTGATGCTCGTGGTTAGTCTACCAGTGGCAGTGGATCAGTACGGATCAGGATAAAAAGGGTAAGGCATTTATTGTGCTTCATTTGCGGGTCTCAATATACTGGAGATCCCAGAGTACATATTACACTTCTTAAATATCATTTTATATTTCATATTACAGGAAAATCAACCTCCATTGAATATGAATAACCTGAAACAAAAAGAAATATTTGACAGCTTCCCTCCACATGACCTCTGCTCAGAGGTAAGAAGCATTTGTTGTTAATTTTTTTTAAGTCCCAACAAATATTCATTTTCCTTGAATTGCTTAAATATACGGGGAGTTTAAGTAGAAATAAGACTGATTTTCTTTCGTCTATGTAAACCGTGTAATTATAAACCAACAAATTTAAGGTTAATACGTAATACGTACCAAAAATAAGGACAAATTAGGAGTCGCGGCATCTCGAAATCACTTAAGTATCTCTTGCTCAGTCGCGACATAATTTTTTGACTTACTGAGTATTGCGAACAAGTACAATTATGCTAAATTTTGTTAATTCAACAAATAATCTACTTTAATGCAATTATTACAGTGCAAAAAGTTTAAAAATATCTATGCTAACATTTGACACTTTCAAACTCTCCATTTGTTTATTTCTTCGGTGTAGATAAGAAGCTATTTTTCTCCCTTTTCCTGTCACTAAGGTTTCAAGTGTCTGATTTAGTCATTTTGTCCGTTTTCTTACCTTTCCAACGACACCAAACTCGTCTTGATCCGATAAAAAATAAGAAAGTTATGAGCTTCTGAAAATTCCACTTTGTCCTTTATTATTGCTTCTACCCGTGACTTTCACTTTCCACTTTCATTTTCTTAATCTTTTAATCTCCGTTGACCTACTTGGGCACTTTAATCCACGGGCATTTTCGTTTTTATCCTATACCCTAACCCAAACCCTAACCCTAACCCTTAAATAAGAAAGTTATAAGCTTCGGAAAATTCCAGTTTTTCCTTTACTTTTGCATGTCTCTGTGACTTTCACTTTCCACTTTCATTTCATTTGACCTAGATAGTTCATGACCTAGATAGTTCATCTTCGCTTTTAGCCCTATCCCTACTCCAACCCCTAACCCTAACCCTAACCTTAACCCAACCCTAACCCTAACCCTAACCCTAACCCCTAACCCTAACCCTTAACCCTAACCCTAACCCTTACCCTAACCCTTAACCCTAACCCTAACCTTAACCCTAACCCTAACCCTTAACCCTAACCCTAACCCTAACCTTAACCCTAACCCTAACCCTAACCCTTAACCCTAACCCTAACCCTAACCCTAACCCTTACCCTTACCCCACTAACCCTAACCCTAACCCTGACCCTGACCCTGACCCTAACCCTAACCCCCATTAACCCTAACCCCCACTAACCCTAACCCCCGTTAACCCTGACTTTAACCCCTGCAAACACTTTTTTTTCTTTTTTTGCTCATATCTTTTGACTGACTGCTCCGATGTCAACGTTCTTGGTGTCGTTGGAAAGGTCTTGACGAGCTCTTTACGCTCGCTTCAAGATATTGTCGTTACAGTGAGCAAGAAGTCGAATAACAAGCGGTATTCTCAAAAGGCTTGCAAACGGCAAAAAATCTTTATTTCGTGACGGATTTTCAACTTCTTGGGCTTGTCAGAGAGCTCTGGACAAGGTCTATCGAATGCCGTAAAGTGTGAAAAGATCAAGCCATTTTTTGAGGCTTTCTAGAGCAAATATTGCCTAGGTGTACCCACGCGCTTTACACACACATCTTTCAACCCTCGCAACTTTTAACGTTTTTGTCCTTTAACAACCATCTTCAAATCGTGGACAGAACTTGCCAAGACCTTTCCAATGAGACCAAGACTTTGAAGATTGCTTGAAAACTAAGAGAGATTCGGCCCTTACAATTTGGCGTCCATTTGCCACCCCTTTGGATCAGTTTTTGGTCATTTCCGCGAGAGAGGTTCAGGTCAGGGTATCGAGGCCTACGAAACCTTTTATGAAAAGAAGAGTTCCCTTTCGTCCCCATTTCTTGACTACTGAGGACGTTGCCTTCCGGTCCAACCGAAATTACGGCACCTTTTCTTCAAATACCCATAGGTAACACGCCCTTGGGACAAGCAGGCTGAGCTTTGGTATGTGGATTCCTTGAAGTCTTCTTAACCTTTTATGTACGAGTTTAGGGCCTCTATCTCTCACCGTTTTCGCGCTATCGCCCGCAAAAAGAACTTAGCGCGGAACGCAAATTTACCTCCTCTCCGAGCATAACCGGTTTTGGGGGTACTTGAACAGATCCTGCTGAGACCTTTTCGGCAATCTGCAGGCTGTCGAGATCTGACAGCTTTAACTTGTCCAATCCCGGTTTCAAATTGTCTAAGACTTTTGTAGATTTTCCATATGTTTAGTCATTAACATCTTTGGAGAGAGAAAGTATTTCTGCAAACTCTTTGCAGCTTCCAGGAGTCCCTGTCAGGGTGTATCACTGACATAAGAGCAGTGTGTCGATTGCATGCCATTCTCCAGATATTGAAGTTTGAAAATGGTCAAAAATTCTCAACTTGTCAATTTCTAAACACAATCTTTGGTGTAAATAAGAAACCACTTTTCCCCCTTTTCCTGACACATTGATTTTATGGCTCCGACTTAGTCGTGTTGTCCGTTTTCTTAGCTTTCCAACGACACCAAAGTCCTCTAAGTTAACCGCATGGGTATAAATAAAAATATTCAAGTTTTATATGAAATCAACAGAAATTAGGACAAATCAGGTGTCGCAACATGTTGAAATCAATAAAGTAATTCTTCTGAGGTTGTGACATCATTTTTCGACTAACTAAGTATTGCGAACAATTTGAAACATGAAATGTTATTGTAGTAGAAGTTTCCTTGATCAAATTAATAATATGCAAATTAGTTATCAATCTGATGCTTCCTACTCTGTTTGCTATGTAACATTAAACGTTGCAGTGACCAAGACAAAGACGATGACTCAGCGTCTTTGGGGAACTATAAATACTGGCGAGCGCTGATGCTCGTGGTTAGTCTACCAGTGGCAGTGGATCAGTACGGATCAGGATAAAAAGGGTAAGGCATTTATTGTGCTTCATTTGCGGGTCTCAATATACTGGAGATCCCAGAGTACATATTACACTTGTTAAATATCATTTTATATTTCATATTACAGGAAAATCAACCTCCATTGAATATGAATAACCTGAAACAAAAAGAAATATTTGACAGCTTCCCTCCACATGACCTCTGCTCAGAGGTAAGAAGCATTTGTTGTTAATTTTTTTTAAGTCCCAACAAATATTCATTTTCCTTGAATTGCTTAAATATACGGGGAGTTTAAGTAGAAATAAGACTGATTTTCTTTCGTCTATGTAAACCGTGTAATTATAAACCAACAAATTTAAGGTTAATACGTAATACGTACCAAAAATAAGGACAAATTAGGAGTCGCGGCATCTCGAAATCACTTAAGTATCTCTTGCTCAGTCGCGACATAATTTTTTGACTTACTGAGTATTGCGAACAAGTACAATTATGCTAAATTTTGTTAATTCAACAAATAATCTACTTTAATGCAATTATTACAGTGCAAAAAGTTTAAAAATATTTATGCTGCTAACATTTGACACTTTCAAACTCTCCATTTGTTTATTTCTTCGGTGTAGATAAGAAGCTATTTTTCTCCCTTTTCCTGTCACTAAGGTTTCAAGTGTCTGATTTAGTCATTTTGTCCGTTTTCTTACCTTTCCAACGACACCAAACTCGTCTTGATCCGATAAAAAATAAGAAAGTTATGAGCTTCTGAAAATTCCACTTTGTCCTTTATTATTGCTTCTACCCGTGACTTTCACTTTCCACTTTCATTTTCTTAATCTTTTAATCTCCGTTGACCTACTTGGGCACTTTAATCCACGGGCATTTTCGTTTTTATCCTATACCCTAACCCAAACCCTAACCCTAACCCTTAAATAAGAAAGTTATAAGCTTCGGAAAATTCCAGTTTTTCCTTTACTTTTGCATGTCTCTGTGACTTTCACTTTCCACTTTCATTTCATTTGACCTAGATAGTTCATGACCTAGATAGTTCATCTTCGCTTTTATCCCTACTCCAACCCCTAACCCTAACCCTAACCTTAACCCAACCCTAACCCTAACCCTAACCCCTAACCCTAACCCTTAACCCTAACCCTAACCCTTACCCTAACCCTTAACCCTAACCCTAACCTTAACCCTAACCCTAACCCTTAACCCTAACCCTAACCCTAACCTTAACCCTAACCCTAACCCTAACCCTTAACCCTAACCCTAACCCTAACCCTAACCCTTACCCTTACCCCACTAACCCTAACCCTAACCCTGACCCTGACCCTGACCCTAACCCTAACCCCCATTAACCCTAACCCCCACTAACCCTAACCCCCGTTAACCCTGACTTTAACCCCTGCAAACACTTTTTTTTCTTTTTTTGCTCATATCTTTTGACTGACTGCTCCGATGTCAACGTTCTTGGTGTCGTTGGAAAGGTCTTGACGAGCTCTTTACGCTCGCTTCAAGATATTGTCGTTACAGTGAGCAAGAAGTCGAATAACAAGCGGTATTCTCAAAAGGCTTGCAAACGGCAAAAAATCTTTATTTCGTGACGGATTTTCAACTTCTTGGGCTTGTCAGAGAGCTCTGGACAAGGTCTATCGAATGCCGTAAAGTGTGAAAAGATCAAGCCATTTTTTGAGGCTTTCTAGAGCAAATATTGCCTAGGTGTACCCACGCGCTTTACACACACATCTTTCAACCCTCGCAACTTTTAACGTTTTTGTCCTTTAACAACCATCTTCAAATCGTGGACAGAACTTGCCAAGACCTTTCCAATGAGACCAAGACTTTGAAGATTGCTTGAAAACTAAGAGAGATTCGGCCCTTACAATTTGGCGTCCATTTGCCACCCCTTTGGATCAGTTTTTGGTCATTTCCGCGAGAGAGGTTCAGGTCAGGGTATCGAGGCCTACGAAACCTTTTATGAAAAGAAGAGTTCCCTTTCGTCCCCATTTCTTGACTACTGAGGACGTTGCCTTCCGGTCCAACCGAAATTACGGCACCTTTTCTTCAAATACCCATAGGTAACACGCCCTTGGGACAAGCAGGCTGAGCTTTGGTATGTGGATTCCTTGAAGTCTTCTTAACCTTTTATGTACGAGTTTAGGGCCTCTATCTCTCACCGTTTTCGCGCTATCGCCCGCAAAAAGAACTTAGCGCGGAACGCAAATTTACCTCCTCTCCGAGCATAACCGGTTTTGGGGGTACTTGAACAGATCCTGCTGAGACCTTTTCGGCAATCTGCAGGCTGTCGAGATCTGACAGCTTTAACTTGTCCAATCCCGGTTTCAAATTGTCTAAGACTTTTGTAGATTTTCCATATGTTTAGTCATTAACATCTTTGGAGAGAGAAAGTATTTCTGCAAACTCTTTGCAGCTTCCAGGAGTCCCTGTCAGGGTGTATCACTGACATAAGAGCAGTGTGTCGATTGCATGCCATTCTCCAGATATTGAAGTTTGAAAATGGTCAAAAATTCTCAACTTGTCAATTTCTAAACACAATCTTTGGTGTAAATAAGAAACCACTTTTCCCCCTTTTCCTGACACATTGATTTTATGGCTCCGACTTAGTCGTGTTGTCCGTTTTCTTAGCTTTCCAACGACACCAAAGTCCTCTAAGTTAACCGCATGGGTATAAATAAAAATATTCAAGTTTTATATGAAATCAACAGAAATTAGGACAAATCAGGTGTCGCAACATGTTGAAATCAATAAAGTAATTCTTCTGAGGTTGTGACATCATTTTTCGACTAACTAAGTATTGCGAACAATTTGAAACATGAAATGTTATTGTAGTAGAAGTTTCCTTGATCAAATTAATAATATGCAAATTAGTTATCAATCTGATGCTTCCTACTCTGTTTGCTATGTAACATTAAACGTTGCAGTGACCAAGACAAAGACGATGACTCAGCGTCTTTGGGGAACTATAAATACTGGCGAGCGCTGATGCTCGTGGTTAGTCTACCAGTGGCAGTGGATCAGTACGGATCAGGATAAAAAGGGTCAGGCATTTATTGTGCTTCATTTGCGGGTCTCAATATACTGGAGATCCCAGAGTACATATTACACTTGTTAAATATCATTTTATATTTCATATTACAGGAAAATCAACCTCCATTGAATATGAATAACCTGAAACAAAAAGAAATATTTGACAGCTTCCCTCCACATGACCTCTGCTCAGAGGTAAGAAGCATTTGTTGTTAATTTTTTTTAAGTCCCAACAAATATTCATTTTCCTTGAATTGCTTAAATATACGGGGAGTTTAAGTAGAAATAAGACTGATTTTCTTTCGTCTATGTAAACCGTGTAATTATAAACCAACAAATTTAAGGTTAATACGTAATACGTACCAAAAATAAGGACAAATTAGGAGTCGCGGCATCTCGAAATCACTTAAGTATCTCTTGCTCAGTCGCGACATAATTTTTTGACTTACTGAGTATTGCGAACAAGTACAATTATGCTAAATTTTGTTAATTCAACAAATAATCTACTTTAATGCAATTATTACAGTGCAAAAAGTTTAAAAATATCTATGCTAACATTTGACACTTTCAAACTCTCCATTTGTTTATTTCTTCGGTGTAGATAAGAAGCTATTTTTCTCCCTTTTCCTGTCACTAAGGTTTCAAGTGTCTGATTTAGTCATTTTGTCCGTTTTCTTACCTTTCCAACGACACCAAACTCGTCTTGATCCGATAAAAAATAAGAAAGTTATGAGCTTCTGAAAATTCCACTTTGTCCTTTATTATTGCTTCTACCCGTGACTTTCACTTTCCACTTTCATTTTCTTAATCTTTTAATCTCCGTTGACCTACTTGGGCACTTTAATCCACGGGCATTTTCGTTTTTATCCTATACCCTAACCCAAACCCTAACCCTAACCCTTAAATAAGAAAGTTATAAGCTTCGGAAAATTCCAGTTTTTCCTTTACTTTTGCATGTCTCTGTGACTTTCACTTTCCACTTTTCATTTCATTTGACCTAGATAGTTCATGACCTAGATAGTTCATCTTCGCTTTTAGCCCTATCCCTACTCCAACCCCTAACCCTAACCCTAACCTTAACCCAACCCTAACCCTAACCCTAACCCCTAACCCTAACCCTTAACCCTAACCCTAACCCTTACCCTAACCCTTAACCCTAACCCTAACCCTAACCCTAACCCTAACCCTAACCCTAACCCTAACCCTAACCCTTAACCCTAACCCTAACCCTAACCCTAACCCTAACCCTAACCCTAACCCTAACCCTAACCCTAACCCTAACCCTAACCCTAACCCTGACCCTGACCCTAACCCTAACCCTAACCCTAACCCTAACCCTGACCCTAACCCTAACCCCCATTAACCCTAACCCCCACTAACCCTAACCCCCGTTAACCCTGACTTTAACCCCTGCAAACACTTTTTTTTCTTTTTTTGCTCATATCTTTTGACTGACTGCTCCGATGTCAACGTTCTTGGTGTCGTTGGAAAGGTCTTGACGAGCTCTTTACGCTCGCTTCAAGATATTGTCGTTACAGTGAGCAAGAAGTCGAATAACAAGCGGTATTCTCAAAAGGCTTGCAAACGGCAAAAAATCTTTATTTCGTGACGGATTTTCAACTTCTTGGGCTTGTCAGAGAGCTCTGGACAAGGTCTATCGAATGCCGTAAAGTGTGAAAAGATCAAGCCATTTTTTGAGGCTTTCTAGAGCAAATATTGCCTAGGTGTACCCACGCGCTTTACACACACATCTTTCAACCCTCGCAACTTTTAACGTTTTTGTCCTTTAACAACCATCTTCAAATCGTGGACAGAACTTGCCAAGACCTTTCCAATGAGACCAAGACTTTGAAGATTGCTTGAAAACTAAGAGAGATTCGGCCCTTACAATTTGGCGTCCATTTGCCACCCCTTTGGATCAGTTTTTGGTCATTTCCGCGAGAGAGGTTCAGGTCAGGGTATCGAGGCCTACGAAACCTTTTATGAAAAGAAGAGTTCCCTTTCGTCCCCATTTCTTGACTACTGAGGACGTTGCCTTCCGGTCCAACCGAAATTACGGCACCTTTTCTTCAAATACCCATAGGTAACACGCCCTTGGGACAAGCAGGCTGAGCTTTGGTATGTGGATTCCTTGAAGTCTTCTTAACCTTTTATGTACGAGTTTAGGGCCTCTATCTCTCACCGTTTTCGCGCTATCGCCCGCAAAAAGAACTTAGCGCGGAACGCAAATTTACCTCCTCTCCGAGCATAACCGGTTTTGGGGGTACTTGAACAGATCCTGCTGAGACCTTTTCGGCAATCTGCAGGCTGTCGAGATCTGACAGCTTTAACTTGTCCAATCCCGGTTTCAAATTGTCTAAGACTTTTGTAGATTTTCCATATGTTTAGTCATTAACATCTTTGGAGAGAGAAAGTATTTCTGCAAACTCTTTGCAGCTTCCAGGAGTCCCTGTCAGGGTGTATCACTGACATAAGAGCAGTGTGTCGATTGCATGCCATTCTCCAGATATTGAAGTTTGAAAATGGTCAAAAATTCTCAACTTGTCAATTTCTAAACACAATCTTTGGTGTAAATAAGAAACCACTTTTCCCCCTTTTCCTGACACATTGATTTTATGGCTCCGACTTAGTCGTGTTGTCCGTTTTCTTAGCTTTCCAACGACACCAAAGTCCTCTAAGTTAACCGCATGGGTATAAATAAAAATATTCAAGTTTTATATGAAATCAACAGAAATTAGGACAAATCAGGTGTCGCAACATGTTGAAATCAATAAAGTAATTCTTCTGAGGTTGTGACATCATTTTTCGACTAACTAAGTATTGCGAACAATTTGAAACATGAAATGTTATTGTAGTAGAAGTTTCCTTGATCAAATTAATAATATGCAAATTAGTTATCAATCTGATGCTTCCTACTCTGTTTGCTATGTAACATTAAACGTTGCAGTGACCAAGACAAAGACGATGACTCAGCGTCTTTGGGGAACTATAAATACTGGCGAGCGCTGATGCTCGTGGTTAGTCTACCAGTGGCAGTGGATCAGTACGGATCAGGATAAAAAGGGTAAGGCATTTATTGTGCTTCATTTGCGGGTCTCAATATACTGGAGATCCCACAGTACATATTACACTTGTTAAATATCATTTTATATTTCATATTACAGGAAAATCAACCTCCATTGAATATGAATAACCTGAAACAAAAAGAAATATTTGACAGCTTCCCTCCACATGACCTCTGCTCAGAGGTAAGAAGCATTTGTTGTTAATTTTTTTTAAGTCCCAACAAATATTCATTTTCCTTGAATTGCTTAAATATACGGGGAGTTTAAGTAGAAATAAGACTGATTTTCTTTCGTCTATGTAAACCGTGTAATTATAAACCAACAAATTTAAGGTTAATACGTAATACGTACCAAAAATAAGGACAAATTAGGAGTCGCGGCATCTCGAAATCACTTAAGTATCTCTTGCTCAGTCGCGACATAATTTTTTGACTTACTGAGTATTGCGAACAAGTACAATTATGCTAAATTTTGTTAATTCAACAAATAATCTACTTTAATGCAATTATTACAGTGCAAAAAGTTTAAAAATATCTATGCTAACATTTGACACTTTCAAACTCTCCATTTGTTTATTTCTTCGGTGTAGATAAGAAGCTATTTTTCTCCCTTTTCCTGTCACTAAGGTTTCAAGTGTCTGATTTAGTCATTTTGTCCGTTTTCTTACCTTTCCAACGACACCAAACTCGTCTTGATCCGATAAAAAATAAGAAAGTTATGAGCTTCTGAAAATTCCACTTTGTCCTTTATTATTGCTTCTACCCGTGACTTTCACTTTCCACTTTCATTTTCTTAATCTTTTAATCTCCGTTGACCTACTTGGGCACTTTAATCCACGGGCATTTTCGTTTTTATCCTATACCCTAACCCAAACCCTAACCCTAACCCTTAAATAAGA